CCCCCCCCCAAGTGCCACATCCACAGACAAGCTAGAGTTTTGAGCAAGAGTTTCACCATCAAAAAGCCATTTGAGTTGTAAGTTTCAGGTTTTAATCTTTTGATTCTGCTGGGTTTGGCGTTCCAATAGAACCGCCCAGTGTCAGCTGTTAAGCAGCAAGTAAGTGGAATAATCTAGGTCCTCTTTTTCCTTAATTCCAGCGTTAACTTTTCCTCTCCAGTTAGAAGAGGTTTCCGAAAAGAGGATCATGCTAAAAGGAGGAGAAAGAGAGCCCAAAGCCAAGAATGGGGAGGGGGGAAGAAAGCACCCCATGCTTGTGACCCCACAGACAGACTGACCGGCCACCCTCACCCAGGATAAGCAAGGCTTTGCCGGATCGATTCTAGAAATGGGGGGCACAGCCTCTACGCCAAGTCTCCTGTCCCCCCAGATGGGGGGGTCCTTGCTGCCCTCCCCTCCCCCACTCCCACCTTGGCACTGCCATCTGCCAGCAGCCCTTTGGCACTGGTCCTCAGGAAGGGGCAATGAGCTTGATTGGCAAGATGTCTAAATGCCGTGGGCTGGCGAGGGGCTGCGGATGGCCAACCAGGCTCTCCTACTAAGGAGAACAATGGTGGTTTCAGGAAGCAAGCAGAGGTTTGGGGTGGGGGCTCACGTGGTGCAACTCCAGGTGCTCTGCATTATTGGAAGCAGGTAGCCCCCCAAAAAACTGCTTTGCAAGTGTGGTAAACCTTTCAGGAGAGAGCCAAACCTCGCTTGGGGGGCCTGTCATCAGCCAGACCCCTCTGGACTGCAGCCTGTTTGAAGCAGATCATGACCCTTGGTTGGGGAGGGGGCTCCTGAGACCAGTGCCCCCATCTTCCAGGGATCCTGGTCCCACCCGAGACCTCAGCAAGCTCCCTTCCACTTGAAAGGAGGAGGAAGCTGGCCAGCTGTTTCCGCCCATTGGCCTTCAAGACCTTTGTGCGTGCTGGACTACAACTGCCATCATCTCCAGAAAGCCCACCTCGAGGACGCCACGGGTGGGTGTGGGAGGATGCTAAAGCAACTCTCCAAGCAGGCAGGCCCCAGGCTTCAAGCCACCCCGAAGCTCGCTTTGCGGGAGAAGATGCTTTGGGCACGCCTGGGCACTCCTGAAGGGGCGGGCGGGCAGGCTGGCTGCGCTTGAGATGGCAGTGTTTGCCACAGCTCCTCCCCCGGGGATGCCCACGGAGGGGGTAATGGACTCCTACAGCTTCTGTTCAGCTGCCCCCCCCCCCCAATGGATCAAGGGTTGCCCACGATTGGCCGCTGCACCCAGCAGAGATGACGCTGTCGCTCAGCCCTGGGGACGGAGGCAAAGCAAGGGCCGCCAGCCTGGGAAGGAGCTCGCGGCACAAGAACCACGAAAGCTACCCGGAGCTTGGCAGAGACTTTCCAAGGGCCCCCTTTCCTCCCCAGCAGCCTCACTGTCCGAGGCCTTCTCCCAGAGGCTAATCCGGGGGGCAGCCTTGGACGTCTTGATGGCGGCAGTTAAAGATCTCCTCCTGGGGAGGCCCCGTTCATGCAGCGGGAACCGCATCAATTGCTCTGGGCCTGGAGTTTGGAGGACAAGGCAACCCATCTCAGGGCAGCAGCAAGCCCCCCACGCTCAGGGAACTTGAAGCCAGCGGTTTGTTCCTTCTCTGAAAAAGCAGTTCCAGGGATACAGATTCGTTCTGGCCCCGAGGGATCCAGCAAGGGCACCATCTGGGCAGCCCTCAACCGAGCAGACCAAGGCACCCTCTCAGCCTTCCATGCGTCCTCCTACCCCAGTGGGCCTTTGGCTGAGAAAATGTTGATGTTCTCAACAGAAAGGTGGGGTGGGGTGGGGTCTACCGGATGTTTCTGCCGCAGCTCCCCTCTGGCTTGCTTTGCCTGCTAGATGCCTTTGCAGGCTCTTCCCTGGTGCCCCAAATGCCAGGGCGTGCCTTGGGGAGAGGGGCACTACACCAGACCATGGCCCCCAAGGGCCTCCAGCCATGGGGATGAAACACGTGGAGAAAGCTCCTTTTGAAGGGACTTTGGAGTATTCTAAGTGGAAACTGGCAAGGGAATACATGGAAAATTCTCCCCCCACAAAACTCATGAGATAAAATGGAAAGAGTTAACTTTGCAAGGGAGGCGAGAGAGCTCCAAGGAGAACGAAGCACCACTAGGAAATCCCACAAAACCTGAGTTTGCCGACAGATTCAGAAAGTTCACAACTTCTCTCAGAAAAACGTCCGCATGCTGCTACTGGCTCTGTAAGACTCACGCGCAGGAGGAATCCATTTCCGAGTGTCATTAGAAGCACTTACCAAAAGTCCGCACTGGCTTCCCTGCCTCGCCATCCTCAAAAAAGCAGGCCCCGCAGGAGCCGCAAATCAGGTTGACCCCCTGGCCCCCCACCCACGCCCCCACCCCGGCTCCTCTTCACGCACACCACACACTTAGACCAAGGCAGCCGAATCGGGTTTGGCAAATTGTTTTACTTAAAGTATTAATTTCATGAATAGCCTAGGGTCTGGCACAGAATGATGTACATGGCAAGTGGGGAGGGAGAGAACTGCTTCTATCCCAGTTCTCCCCAGTAAAAAGGACGCCAATGTTGAAACCGACATCACATCTGCTCGGAAGGTCAAGGTCAAGGCAAGCAAAGCTATGGGGCCGCTGGGCGCGTTCAAGTTCTGCTCGGAGTGCAGCTCCTGGGTGGGACGGGCCGGGAGGAGCAGAACGGGAGCACCCCGCCTGCTCCCCCCGCCCCAAGTAACCTGTGCCATGCTCCTCAAGGGGCACCTGTCCTGGGAGGCATCGCCAGGGCTTGGGGAAGCCTTCCCTCGTAAGATGCCTTCCCGGCAGGCAGATATGCAGACGGGGAGTTTGGGCTTGGTGGTCCTTGGTCGAGGAGGATGGGCTGGGAACGGGAGTGAGACGGATCGGCTTCCATCTTGGTGGTCGCCCTCCCCTCCCACTTACGAGTAAGTTAACCAGCTGAGACACCCCCGACCCACAAAGCTCCCAGCAGTCTCCCAGCTGTGGACCTCTGGCAGAGGCACATCAGCCCAGGATAAAACGCCGAAGGGGGCTGTGCTGCTCCCCCCCACCCTGCCCTCTTATAGAACATCACACTTGGCAAGAACAGCTGTGTCCAATTCAGGAGGGGGGCCCTTCTGCACCCTCTTTTCCGGACAGGCTCCAGGCCCCCTTCTGCTCCCTGTGACCCCCACAATCAGAAGCCGAAGTGGGGAGGAGGGAGATTCAGCTGAACCAAAGGACCTGGAGTGGTTTTTTAATTTAGCTAAATTAAAAGTCACACTGATTAAAAAAGGAGCAGAAGTGTGACACACGAGAGTATATTCTTCTATACAAGTATGTCACATAAAGACATAAAAAAAAAACCTTTACATTTCTGAGCCCTATAGGTGTGTTAAAAGGCAAATCCTAAAGTTAGTAGCTAGTGTTTGTTTATGTGTGCAAGGAAACTAATGTACAACAGAACGCCAGGGGGAGCAGCCGGTGGTGATTTGACTGAGCCTCTGGCCAGCTGCTCCCGGGCGACCCCGCAGGTGCTCGTAGCGGGACCCCTTCCCTTCCCTTCCCTGCCCTGGCACTGAAGGTTCCCGAGACCCTGAGCACAGAGCCACCTCCTTCCAGGGTCCCAACGGGGCCTGTGCGGCTCCTTGGAAGCCGAGTCTCTTGATGCGGGGCCCCCAAAGAACGAGCGCCCCCCTTGCCATGGGTCCGGGAAGGACTGGCAGCCACTCACACTGCCCGTGAACAATGTCTCCGGTGGCGGTGGCGGCGGCAGCGGCTGGAGGGCCTGGGCTCCCCATGGCAAGTCGAACACTTACAACAGTGGCGGAGTGACGTGTAAACGAGAAAACCATGGCAAGCCCAAGAGCCTAATAACAACTGGCAAATGTAGTGTCAGGAGGAGACTCCTGGTCTCTTGGCGGCCTATTGGCGACTTATGGCAGCGTTCACAAGACCTCTGGAATCTGGGAGTGGTTGGCTGCAGATCTTAACGTTTCTGAAGGAGAGCAGGCTGACCGGGGGGGCCAGGGATCCGGGGAGGTGCTCTGATGCTGAGCCTCGGTGAGATGTCACAGTATTAAGCCATAAAAAAGCTCTCCTCCCCTCCTGCCTCTTCCCCTCCCACTCACGCGTGCACACACACTCACACACGACACAGCCTCTTGGGCTGAACTGCAAAGAGGTTTCTAGCAGGTGCATTTTACTAGTGCAGTTCTGTCCAAGCCATCACGTGCGCCCTGAATCCTCAAGGCTGAGCATCTTAGTGCAACAGAGACAGCGAACGGCTGCAGGCCTGGGGTGCGCCTCAGCCTCTTCCGACGGGCAAGGTCCCCGGGAGCCGCTTTCCCCGGGCCCCTCTCAACAAGGAACCGCCCCGAGAGGCGTGGAAGGGCGGCTGGCCCGACGCAAGGGAGAGGCAGCCGAGACTCCGTGGGGCAGCTCGCCCCCTCGGCCAACTTCACCCTCTGAGGAAAGGGGGAGCACTCTTGCCTCCCTTCCTGAGCTGCAGGAGAGGCGGGGACCCTGCTCTCCCCATAGCCCTGGGCGGGAGGAGGTTCTTCCCCCCGGCCGCACGTCGCTTCCTTAAAACGAGTGCTTTTGAGGCGAGAGAGCAACTCTGCAGCCAAATACTATGACATCCCAAATAGCAAACGCAGAACGCAATGCTTGCCCCGATATACGGGCCCACTGAACGGCACCCTGAGCCTGCGCTGCCCGGGGCCGGCTCCTGGGGAGAGAGGCCTGTCAGCAGTTCCTGTGGGCAGACAGTGCCGGTGGAATGGCCACCCGCACGGGGGCACCGAACGGAAGGGATTATGTGTAAGACAGGTGTGACCCATTGGAGATTTGTGAGGTGACACTGGCACTCCGGCTCATGCCCTGCTCTGTCCGTCCCCCAGAAGGCGTCCGCCTCAGGGCCTGGGGGCTGTTGCGGACCCCGAGAGAGCTCCCCCGAGGCACCCCCTGCAGGGGCCCTGAGGGGTGGCCCCACGGCTGGGGTCCCCCCTGCATCGGATGGCCCCACGCCTGTGGCTGGCCCCCCATAGGGTGACCCCAGGGAGGGCCCGGCCCCCCGGAAGGGTGATGGGACCAGCTAGAGGCTCCAGGGTAACTGTGGCTGAAGGCCTCGGGGGAGAGATTTGAGAGGAGCATGTTACTAAAGCCGAGGCGCATGCTCTCCGAATCAAAGGCCTCGATTTCCCGTGCCTGGCGCTCCAACAGGCCCCGGATCCGTTCCGTGCGCTCGTTCTGCAGGGCCAGCATCTCTTCCTCGATCTGGACAGAAAAGAAATCAGGAAGGGGGGGGCGATTACTCCAAATCTTTGAACCTGGTTTCTGAGGGGCACAGAGAGCCCCGAACTCCCCTGCTTTTCCACCTGGCCAGGGCGCCACAGAAGCTGGTTGAGGCCCCTCTTTGCTGTGGCTCTTTGGAGAATCGGGCAGATATCAGCCTTCCCTCTGGGCTGGTTGGACCACGATGCCAAGACCCTTCACCCAGTGTTGCACTGGGGCCATGGAGCGGGCAGGGGGCTACAATGAATGGGGCAGCGATAAAAAGTTTGGCAGGGCCAGGGATTTCAGAGTTCGGGGCACAGGATGGCAGAGCAGGAGTACTTGTTCGCGTTTTACTCAGTTAAACCTAGTTTACAGCTTACAGTGGGGCAAAAAAGTATTTAGTCAGCCACCAATTGTGCAAGTTCTCCCACTTAAAAAGATG